ACAGTATGTTGGAAAGACATTGTTGGCCTGGGTTGGACATTCCAGAGTCTACACTATTGAAGTGAATGGAGAATTGTAATAATCATCTAGATATTCAGATATTCTACATTCTCTCTGGGCCATGCTCTACCACATAGGCTTCAGCTCCCATAATCCAAATATATTAGGTGTCTGTTTTTAACCTAAATTACTAAGATAACTGCTTGTAGTTTTCCATTTGAGGGGTAGACAAAGCCTCAGGTGAAACTTGAAGACCTAGGGAAGTGTCTCAGTCTCTAATTTATAAAATATTCTGTGCACTTCTTGATTTGCTGAGTGGTTGATTGGCTGGATTGAATAAGTAAGTCAATGTGGTGGCTTCAGGATCATGTGTGTTAGGTTTTCGTGTGTGTGCGTGTGTGTGTGTGTGTTTGCGTGTCTGGAGACAAATCACAAATATGAGGATTCTGAATTGTTTTGAAAAGTTCATGATATAAATAATAAAAACTGGTACAGTCAAAGGCCACTATTTGAATCTCTTAGACATCCATACTGTTTTTGGAAATGACGTCAGAGGAGGTATGACTAAGTACTAAGAGTCACGTACATATATGGAGGTGGACATTGATGGCAAGCATCAGGATACACTCAAACTCCAACAGAGGCCCCTGTGCACCCCTGAAGGAGTGCTGAACTGTATCTCATACACCTCAGAAACCCTAATCTTATCTAGAATAATGAATCAAATGCTTGAACTATATAAAAAGTATCACCCATGGATATACCTATTTGTTAAAATATGGCTTTTGTTTAGGCTAATTTCAATAAGACGAGTAATACCCTTGTCTCTATGACTCTCTTAGAATGTGGGAAATTTCTCATGCATAGGCCCTTCCCTGAGCAGTAAGATGGGCATCTAGCTTGATTTACTGATAGAACGAGGGGAAAGAATCCAACTTAGCCTTATCTTCTCTTAAAACTGAATCAATAAATCATGGGCCTGATGGCAAATAAACTTACTGAAGCTAAAGGAAAGCTTAGCATGGGCAGGCTATGACTGGCTGCCTTTGGGCCCTGCTGGCCAGCAGACTACTGGAATCCCAGTAACGGGCTTTCCTTTCACGCCTGCAGGGTATCATCACATCGACATTTCCATCAGCCCGGAGCAGTGCCTTGCAGTCACTACAGAACATGTTAACAGCCAGCCTCCAGGCACACATGCCCTAAGATGTCCTCTCCACTATGTGGCTGTGTGTTGGGGGAGGGGTGTGCGAGAAGGGGAAGAACATTGTATTGCTGGCTTATGGCCCTTTGTGACAAGGAATACAGTCATAAGCAAAACCAACAGGCAGAAGGCGATGAAAAACAGGCAGTGTGGCAAAAGCAACAGACAGACGAGATGATCATGGGGTCCATCAGACACATTCCTAAATGAATACAACTGTCGCAGCCGCATGGAAGGTGCTGGTCTAACAGACTGAAACATTAGTCTGCTGAGCAACACTCCCACGCCTCCACAGAGTAGCATTTTTATTGCAGTATGTCTTTCATGGAAAAGGAACAAAACTTTAAATAAATCACAATTACTTATTGCTTAGTATTTTGGATAATAAATTCTTTAGTTTATCAGTACCTCAGGGCCTTCAAATGTGCATTCTTCAAATAGTTTCAATTACATATACATTCTTTCTCCTGAACAATAAATTATTCTTTAAAAAAAAGTAAAAGAAAAAGATACATAATTTTAAAGCAAAGGAAAACAAAAAAACATATATTTTTGACATTTATCTTAAACTTATATGAAAACAACTCTATGTTAGATGCTTAAATATAAATAATAGAGGACATTATGTTATTTACAATGTTACACAGTAAGTTGAGAGTAAAAAAACTGACATTAACTCATAAAGACAGTAAATGACTTAGGAAAACATCCAAGTAACGTACAATGTGTATTTACAAAAGAATATATAATAGAATTTGTGATATGTGGCCATTTCCCTTTGCCTGCATTTCTCTGCAGTGTTTCATGGGTCCTTGCAGATAGAAATCTCTGTGACTGGTGGAATGGAGCCAGTGCTAAAAGATAAAACAAGGCCTTCCTTATTTTCACCAATGTGAGCCATGCACCTTTTAACCCAGGCCAAAATAAAAAAGGAATAGTTATGAGCAAGTTACCCTGGATAAACAACCTTTATATCAAGACAGTGACACCAAAACAAGGAAGATATGGTATGTCGATGTTCGGGACACATTCACATATACTCAGGCAGAGTGCCATTTTGTAGAAAGCATGAGGCCATCCAGGCAATCTTGGGGAAAAATTAAAAGGTCATACCAGCCAAGAAGGGAGAGTAGGACTGAAAAGGAGGAATCTGGAGTGGGAGAAAGAAGTTTTGCATATACTGTGCTACCCTTCATGGGATACGATGTCAGACCCAGGGAGACAAGCTTGCTGTCAACCTTCTGGGCAATCTCCACCACCTAAAGACCCATGATGGCTCGCCACATGCTGGGAACATCGGTTCACGCTCCTTCTTTGGATTATCACTGCACTGTCTGAGTTTATGGACAAGGGTGGTTGAGAGCAACTAGTTACAGAGAAGTGAACACAGAGCTGGGGGGTTGCAACGCGCAGGCCCGTGGAACCGGTTGGGCTTTCTGCTCAAGGGGAGCTCTGGTCCTAGAGATGGAAAGACTGTCCTCGCTAACACGCCACCTCTGTGAGTGACCAGAATCAAGTCGGAAATAAAATTTCCTCTTGTCCTAACTGTTCATAGGTATTTGCGACCTGAAAACTTCATAGCTCTTTTCACACTGGGGAAAACGTTCAACGCTCTCAACAGATTGTATTTATTCCTGGAATTCTCCACCATGGGGCCCTTGGGTTACTCTAATGCCTGAAGATTTTTGAAACAGAAATTTTAGACTTTGAATTCACGGTAGGATTTTCTTTATTAACATAGTCTCTGAAAGAACCAAGCCTTCAAAGGCAATGTTAGCATAAGTTAGAGAAGCTCTTTGGGTCAACCGTCTTCCTCCCCGCTGCCATGAGCTTACTCGTTTCTACACAACTGGGCAATTGGAGCAACTTGCACTGCCTGACAGGAGCGGTGAAGGTACTGCTGAGCACAGAGAACGGGGCTTGTGAATAAGGAAGGACAGTTTAGGATACCGAATACTAAGAGGAACACCAAGGACCTGCACACAGACACCTCTGTGGGTTGCAGAAACATGTAAGGAGCTTACAGACGTGACTCACGCCCAGCCCACATTTTCCCAAGACCTCCTTGCGTGTCACGTCTTCTTGTTAATGTTCACATAGAGATTTGGTAAAGAACCAAATTCAGTTCACCTGCAAGCAAGGAGCTGTTGCTCTCGCTGACTTCGTGCCTGGGACTCTGACCTCCCCACCAACCTGCTTCCCATTTTGTCCCATGCATCCCAGAAGGCCACTGGGAATCTAAGGAGAGCTCTAGCCTGAGTTGACAGATACCAGACAGGGCATGAAAGGGGAGGTGCATTTTTTCTTAATTCCCTTATTTTCCTGAATCAGCAGTCATCTCCAATGGTAACTCCCCTAGGCCTTCCTTGGACTTACAATCACAGAGAACATGCAAAGTTTAGACCCATCTTCATCCTCTTTTGTGACAGTAAAGCAAAAGGTAAGAAAGGGAGGGGGGTGGATGGACGATGAGGGCTGCAGATTGAGGTCAGTACACAGGAAGGGGTCACTTGCATAAGGAAAGGTGCAATCTTTCCAACACTACCAACGTTTCCTGATGAATCGTCACTTGTGGAAGGTTCTCGCTAGTCACAAATCACATGCACAGTGGCCATTCCTGACAAAAATGTTCATGCATAGTTATGGCCTAATAAAGGCAACATTTAAAAACAAGAGAAAAATCATGAAGAGAAGGGAGCAGTCAACAGAACTGTTTAAAACTGCAAACAAGTCACACAGCTGTTCTCCACCTGTGCCTTCTATACGTTGGCTCTTTGTAGGTGCCCTACAACAGAAATATTGCCTATGATGACCAGTCACCACCACACACAGCAGGCACTTTTCACTGCAGAAGTACTTCAGATCAACTGCTGAGTGTGCTGCGTAGGCTGGGTTTTTGGTGCCATGACTCGTCTGTTCTTGAGCTGATTAGGACACAACCAATCACTAGCTCCAAAATCGGTGGAAAACCCTAGTCAGGAACGCTTGCACCTTTTGCAGCCATGGTTTGATCTTCAACTATAGATGACCTGCTGGGTCATTTCCCCGGAAAGTGAGGCGAGTCCTCTTATAAGGTGATGCATGTGCCCTGCTAGCTAGCCGGAGCCCGTCTTCTATGCTATCCCCCAAACCGTTGCTCTTCGTCAAGAAAAAGAAACCAAAAATAAAGCAAATGGCAGCTCTTTTTTAGTGAGAGCAAGCGGTCTTCTGACTAAGAATATAGTTTTTAAAAAATCACAAGTTTACTTTCTTCCTAATATTTAACATTACTTAATGCAGTTTCCTGCTGTAATTAATAGTAGCATGCTGTTAGATCTACTATTATCTCAGAGCCCAGTGAAGCGAACCTTTGGCTGGCAGAGTAGACACAACTCATTTCATACACAGAAAGCAAAAGAAAACTTCGTAGAAAAGAGAAGAGTATTTGGATGGATGTGCCATTACAAGTCGTACTGATCGGGTGCTACTAGAAGCAAACGGAGGGGCAGTTGCAAGTCTCGCGAATCATACATCCCGCCAACATCATAACGCAACGCACAAGAAGCCGGCGGAAAACCGAATATATGGGAGGTCTTGCTGAAATACTGTGGAAAAGCAATCACAGTAACTGTACAAAACTTGCTCTCAACGTAACAGAACATAAAGGCACCATTGATATCTTTCTCGTTTTGAAATACTGTAAAAAATTGCTACATATGGCACATAACACATTTTTACATACATATATTTAATTTATAAAAGTTTTTTTCTCCTGTTTTCTATTCGCAGAACTGCTAAAATAAAATAAATTGTTTAATTTAAGGTGGAATACTTTATTATATAAAATAAAGTTTTACAGGTGAATCTATGTGTTTATTTAGGTTTTATACAGCGATAGGGTCTTGGTTAGCGATTACACTAGTCAGCCTGGCCTGCAATTCTTCCTGCGGAGAGAAGCGGCCTGCTGGGTTAGTCCTGCTGTCCGCCAGGCGGAAGGCAGGTGCTGCCTCAAGGCTGGCGGCCAGGGGGTTCTGAATGCCCAGGAAGGGTGTATCTTCCCCTACTCTCTCATCTTCTGTCTCACTCTCTGAGTGAGTGCCCTCCGCACTTGCGTTGCTGTCCATTTCCAACCTGTTGGCAATGTGGCCATTGGGCTTGGTTCTTTTGGGCCGCCGGCTACTGGTGAGTTTCTTAACAGGCTCTTGGGCTGGCTCGTACTCCTGGGTGGTTTCATACTCCTCGTCCTCCACTATCCTCAAGGGGCTAGGGGGCAGGCTGTTGCTCTCATGCGCGGGGTTATGGTGGTAGGAGGTGAACTGCTGGGGTTGGCGGTCATACTTCTCCCGCAGCCTCGGTGGTGTCACGAGAAGCAGAGGTCTCTCTTCTTCCACGAAGGGGCTGACTGCCATGGAGGGCATGGACACCGTCGTGCCGGACACAGGTGGAGACATTTCCGAAGGGGGTGATTTGGGGGAGCTTGGCGTGTGGAAATCTACAGGTGACATACGAGCCGGGGTCGTCATTGCTGACACGTACCTGTGTGAGCACAGAATACCCCGCGTGAGTGGTGCAGAATAAGAGGCATACAGCAGGGAGGGGAAGGGGACAGAATTCATGATATTATAGAATCAGAAAACAAAGAAGTTCCGTTCGTTTTATACATCTGGATTTTTAACGCGAAGGACACTCGGCACACTTGGAGTCTAACATTATGTAGCCAAGAGTTTCCTCACAGGAGTGCATGCAAGGATTGGCTAAGTGGCCTAACTCATGGAAGTTTTGGGGATTTTTCAGTCTCGTCATGATTTTAAACAAACGCCTGTGAGTCAAGGCCAGAGGGCACTAGGTCCTGGAAACCTTTCAGTTTACAAGGACCAAGGCGCAGGGATTTGGAAGGGAAAGAAGTATTACTTAAATACTATACCTTCCTAAAGGCCAAGGGGTCTTAGAGAATGAAGCCCAAATGGGGAATGGAAGAAGATCTAAGATGAGTTGCTGATAGCTGGATCTGCATGCATTTGGATCTGTGTGCCTTGTTTCTCCTTAGCTCAGCTATAAGGTTATGTCTTATGAAAAAAAAAGAGCATAGTAACTTAGATTTATTCCTGATAACAGTGTAACACATTTGTGTGCTTTTAGTTTTTCCATGAAATGCAACTTCTTCCCATCCAGTTTGCAACAAGCCATCTCAGTGACCAAGACATTCAGAAATAAGCCTGAGAGAACCTTGTGTGGGCTCCCTAACCATGTCCAATCTCCAGTGTACCTCTCATCAAAAACCCACAGCTGCCTCAATCTGCGGCTTATATTTTGTGACTGCTCAAGGGGTGGCTGTGCCATGGTACCTCATGTCCTATTATGTCCAATGGTGCTCAGGAAATCTCATCGTGAAGACACTGAGTGCATTCTTTTTTTAAACTATATCATGCAGAACAAGAGGACCTGACTGAGCACTGAGGAAGATGTGGCTTATTCACAGTCACATTTCTCCACTTCGATAAAAATGTTGCTGATGCATAGCACCAAGGGACTCTTTTCTTCACACTGGCATTCACAGACTCTAATTTGACATTAACCTGTGATGACACAGGACACCATTATCTGAACTCTAGCTAACAGGAACGGGAAGCCTATTAACTTTCCTGCTTTTCAGCCATGATTCAGAGTCATATGGATGTGGGGTCTGGCTCTGTCTAGGATGGGAAGGTGTCTAGAGATTGAAGTACGTGGGGCTCGAAGCTTCAGCTTTTGTTTGGGGGATACTTAAATCAAGCTCTCTGGGAAATGCTAATCCAAACTCAGCCAACGCCTAAAGGCGATGGATCTTTTCTCTCCATGATCTGTAGGCCCTGGTATATTCTGCAGTCCTAGATAAAACCTGTGGTATGCATGGAGGCCTACCACAGCAGGGAAATGTCAGCCTTTAAAAAGAAGTATCACATGTAGTGATGAAGAAAGAATTTATCCCTACACTCTTTTTCAGGTCTCAAAAAAGAATGAATTGAGACAGGTAGAGTTTCTTAATACGTAAAGATACAGTTGCATGAATTTAAGACTAATGTTTTCAACCGCTTTTGGACCACGCCTACTTTTTCACAGATGAATGACAGAGCAGCCTCTAATTCCAGAAAGTTCTGAAACACCACTTTGGGGTAAAAACCCTTGGAGGCGGATCAGCAAGCTCTAAATGACCTGCTGGCCCAGAACTAGGCATCCTTTGGTATAAGGACTTCCCAGTCAGTCCATAAGTGGAAAGATTCTATCAGAATTATCTCCACCCATGTAACTCCCAAATAAGTATGGATTTAACATCACGTAAACCTTACAGCAAGTGGTCAAAGATTACACTGAGACGGTGATATATAAACAAACAATGACACCATTTTGGGTTTGAAAATACACAAGTAATAGCTTTCTGATATGCTGCAAATGCTGGTTGGCTATACCTCTCTCCCAGTTTAAGTGAAAATGAATAAAGAGAACCTATGAGTTCAGTATTCCTATTAAGCATCCCTCAGTTTACTTTCCTCTGTTTTTTATTTTAACTTGTCTGTAACTCCCGCCAACCCAATCCAATATCCCCAGAAGATAGCCAAAACGTTTTGGAAAGGACCATATCAAAAGCAATATTGGCTTTGGAAACCAGCTGTGAAGACTGCCAGACGCTGCATACAAAAGATTTATTTATTCATCCCTTCTTCGAATTTTGTAAAAGGGATACTATATGGTAGGACACAAGCTTCGTTCCCCCATGACAGTCGGCAATGACACAGCCCTTGATTTGATTTAACTGAGGCTGGGAGGTAAGAAAGAGCACGCGAGAACACGAGACCAGCTCCACCAGAGTTTGGGTAACTGGCAAATTAGAATTCTAGGAAAGGTCCTTATCAATCATCGGTGCCATCTCTCTAAAGTTACAGCTGAGAAAACTGAGATCCCAAGCGGGTCTGAGCCTAAGGTCAGAGCTAGGAACTCCAAGTTTGCTGCACCTTCCGCATCAAACCATTCCCAGAGTCTGGTGCCTGTCAGCCACTGGGATGATGCGAGAAGCTCGGAAGAAATGAGTTAAAAAAAAAAATATGACTTCATCAGCTAGGAACCTCCTAGAACAGGCAACTGCTGCCCTTTATTCCCATTAGAGTAGATTTCCTTAGGTGAGACCGCAGGTGCTCCTGGGGATTCCCCTACTGCGGTTCTTTCTCCTCTGCAACAGCTTTGCCCTTCGGTTTTACCTTTCACTATGAGGAGAGTCTCGGTAGGAGTCAGGGGTTTCTCTGGCATGCCTGAGGAAGCTGTTACACTCGCGAGGGCCTCCCACGCCATTAAGTCGTCCTCTCGGGCCCCCAGTGGGGCTGCTGTGCCTACTGTTTTCTACTGATGACATCATGATTACAGAGTGGCTTTCCGAAATGATGCTTTCAGTGTGCCCATTGCTCCAGCTAGAGGGGAAATGTGAGAGGCGAAGAGATACAACACTTATATATTTCTTAATTACATGCCAAAATGGAAACGAAAGGAAGTGATCTGGTAACTATTTCTAATCATTGGTGTAACAGCAGTTCGCTACAACATGACTTGTCTCAGAACAGAATTATCAGAAACATAACTTGCTCTAGAAAGGATTTAGAATGGCTTTGTAAGGACATAGCCTATGTATATGTTCACCCATTTGATACATATTTACCAAATGGCACTAGGTACTGAGTATTTGTACAATCTCTCTATTCTTTTGTGGCTTAAGTTAAGGAAATAGCTGGCCTGTGGAGCTGCATTTGGCAGTCCAGTGCTGCTCTTGGTGGCATGCACTCACATGGGTCACCAAGACATCGGAGGATTTCAAGTTCAGCTATGGAACCAATTTGCATGTGCATTTCCAAGGGCAGCCCAATCATCGGAAGAAATCAACTTCTAAGTATTATATAGCACCGAAGACAGACTTTTTCCACTGTAGCAATTCAGGGAGTGGTCGTGCATGAGTAAAGACAATCTCTAAAATGGGGACCCAAAATCCTGTGAGTAGGTATTATTTTCATTTCCAGTCATGAAAAACTTGAGGCTCAAATTTAATCAGCAATGAAATGGCAGAGCCAGTTGATGTCCAAGTCTGTTTTTGTCCCAAACTATACATTTTACTATATGTCCCCGCCTCATAAGTGAGTATCTCCTGTTCCTTTCTTAGGCAGTGAGAGAAAAAGACAATGTATACAAATTTACTCCTGGAGGAATGCCGTGTAATTTTATTTTTCCTTCTCATACCTGTGACTAGGAGTCTGAGTGACAGTGGTGGAGTGGTGAGCTGTTGAGGTATAGTGACTGGTGGAAAAAGATGTCTCCGCTTCTCTCTCAACAATATGCTCACTAGAGATGACATTTTTAGAGACGTATTGCTGGATAAACAAAGAGACACAACTTGAAGATTCATATTAACCAAACAGCAACATCAGCATCACACACAAAATCTATTCTAAGCACATATGCTTCGTAATATGTACAGTATTCACCATCTGATGGCAAATCGTACCCTGGCTACATGGCCTTTAAATTCAAGAAATGAAATTAATAAATTATCCTTTGGATGTGCACACAGAGAAGATTCTATAGTTTTAACTGCATATTATCAGAAACAGACCTTTTCCTTCTACCTAATTTCCAACTGAAAATGTGACTGGAATTCAATACAAATCTCTGCCCGATATTCATTTTTGTCACAGTCTAACAGAAAGAAGGTTAACAGATAGTTGAGTGAAACAAAAGCATAGAGATGGTTTGTTTTGTTTCAAATTTCAAGTCAGTGGAGGGATTTTTTTGACATCTCTCCATTTGGGATCTACCTTTCCTTTTCAATTTCCCAGCGCCCATGTTGCTCTAATGATATCACTGAAATTTTTGACTTCTTGTCGGTGGTAAGACTAACACGGCCACTGAGAGGTCGGAAGGATATACAGAAGTTGTTGAGGTCACACATCTTGACGAAGCACATAATGTGTAGGGGGGCGTAACCAGGGTTAGTAGATTCCACTTTATTTTCATCATCAAATCACCCTTGCTATTACCCAAGTAGATTTGATATTCACTTCAATCAGTGAAAGGAGCACATTTTGAAGTCGTGTGTTAAGTATTAGTTTTACACCAAATTGAGTAAAACAGAAAAAGGCATGTAAAGGAATACCCTCAGTTGCAGTGGGCACTTTATAAGCAATAGGCTGTGGGATCTAAAAGAACATGATGTATTTAAGGAAACTCCCCAAATATACAACTTAAATTACATTTGAAACTCTAGTTGGGTCTTTTAGTGGAAAGACTATTATTCCATGTGGCTCTTTCTGGGATGGAAGGTTAGCTTGTTTTAAGGCAAAGATGGTGATGTCATCAATAATGGGCTCTTCCTAGCCTTGTACCATTTCACTCTTGGTCCTTGAAAGGCAATGTAACCTTAGTGAATCTAATGAAAATAATACTTAACAATTATTGAACACTCGCTGAATGTCCCCAGGCTAAGTGTTTTATATGGATTGTCTTATTTAATGTTCACAGAGCTTTCTGAAGTAGGTATTATTTTTAGGCCTGTTGTCTTCATGAAGAAATAGGGTCGAGACAGATTAAAGCCCAAAGCAACACAGCCTGAGACACAATTGGAATGCAAGCAGCCATTCTGCTCTCCTATATCTTATAACAGACATTGTGACAGATTGGAGGTGTGTCTGGATGTAGTGAATGCATTTATCAACTATGCAGAACGTTCTAATGAACACTGGTAGGGGGAGGAAGGCAGCAAAATATACTAATACATCAGCACTTTCCTCTGTCCCTGGAAGGCCTTTGCTACAAGTCTTGCTGAAGGTAACCACCAAGACTGAACTGGGGTCTAGGATAGATTTACTCCACACAAAAGACACATTTTCCTCGGGTAGAAAATGGTACTGAATGTAGTCTTCAAGCTCTGCCTACAAAAGCCAAGCATCAGAGGGAAATGAAGAAAACAGGAAAAAATTATGGTGCAATAGGAAAACCAATACTCCAAAAGGCAGGAAAGCAGAGTCTAGCTCTGGGAGGCTAGAAAGATTGTATCTAAAGACTCTTCCGAATGTATGATCTCTTCATATCTAAAAGCCTAGTGCGTGGTAAATTTTAAACGGAATGTTTGAGTGATTAAGGATCTATTTCATCTGGGGGGTTTGATATCCTATAGAAAGACTCAGGGAATAAGGAAGCATCGTTCTTTCAGTTTTGCCACTGAGAAGTGGGTTTGGAAAGTCACTTGGCCCTTCCGCACCCTCACTGTTCCCTTGGTAAATCAGAATCAGTAAATCATCAGGCGCTGGGAAACGCCTGTACTAGAAATCACTCTAAGGCCCTTAGCTCAGTTATTAGTACTAATCAGTTATAGACTGGAATAGCCTTCATTTCCAAATCATAAAAAAAATAATACAAAGTATTTCCTCCTGAATCTCGTGTCATTAATTTTATTATTTTTGTGTGTGTTTTTCTTTTCTTTCTTCCAGTCCTGGTCTCCCTGCAGAACAAACCCAATCTTATTATCCCAACCTCTTAATGAACACTTTATAAGAGGAAATGTGCTGATGTTACAGGAACCAAATCCACTTTAAAAAATGTTCCCATTCTTTCCTCCTGGAGAAACCCAGGATTCCTGGAAGTCATGGTGATTAATGGCAGTAGCTAAGAGCCTAAGAGCTTTAGAAAATAAACTTCAAGGTGCCTGAACAGAGGAGAGATGTTCAGCTTTTCCACTGGCCAGAGTCAACATACATTCACCAGCTGGACGTTCTCGGGGGGTGGGTTGGGGTGGTGAGGCCCATTCGCTATGTTCACCATGTTGTTTCGTTCAGACCGAAGACTCTGCCGAAGCCGATCATGAAGCTTTTTCCGTTGTTTCCTGCATATGAAAAGGGGAGCATTTGTTTCTTTTTCTTATTATTTGGCACAATTTTTTATTCTACCAACATGTAACTCAGGTAGATTAGTGGTGGTGAGAGGAGAGGGTGTCCCACTCCATATCAGAATCTGCCTATGGACAGATGTGGAATCCCACATTCCTAGTGAATAGATTTAAGAAGTTGGGTTATAGAAATTTAACTGGACTGCTGAGGGATAAGGAAAAAGAAAATGAGAAGATACATCAAGTTGATATTTGGCTCAAACACCAACTTTCATCATCAATCCATTTTTGCCCAAGTCTTACACATGGTCATCTGTCTTAGGTAACAATGTGTGCTCTACAATTGATGAGGCTGATTGCAATTTCATTTATAATTTTGCCTGTGGGTCTCTTATGGAAATGCAGTTAATTTTGAATCTGTACTTCATACACAGTGTGGGTACATGTATAGCATTGTATGTGAGCACAGATAGGTACATATTTTGCCAGTAGATTTAGCACAGTTTAACATGATCTCACTCCAGAAACACTTTTTTTTTGTATAACTGGGCAACGAGTATTTGAAATATTGAGGCTGAGTCTAGTAAGAATAAGGTAGATTCTATTAAGGCTTATCTCTATTACTCAATTCTGGCAACACATTAAATCTTGGGGTACTGGGGTGCCTCGGTGGCTTAGTCGGGTAGGCATCCGACTTCAGCTCAGGTCATGATCTCACAGTTCATGAGTTCGAGCCCCACGTCGGGCTCTGTGCTAACAGCTCAGAGCCTGGAGCCTGCTTCGGATTCTGTGTCTCCTTCTCTCTGCCCATCCCCTACCTGTGCTTTGTCTCTCTCTCTCAAAAATAAATAAATGCTAAAAAAGTTTAAACAAAACCCCAGGGTATTAAGAAAATGCCATCCATGCCCATAATTTTATGGTATAAAAGCATATTGTCTTTGTTCCTCAATGCAACATTCAGGCCATGATAATATCCCCATGAGTAGTTTTGGTAAGAGAGTTTATGTGATGGAACGCGAAAACAAAACAAAACTGTTAACATTATTTCCCACTTGAAGAGGATATTCTACATAAGAGAGAAAAGTGTAGGGAATCCAGGCCACACGGTAATTGTGTTTGTTCACAGGCATCCAGCTTAAAGGGCCAGACACAGTGAACATACATCTGCTTTAATGTTTTCTCTTATTCCTTCAAAGCAAGATTTGCTTGATTGTCCTTCCATGAGATTCCTTTTGTACATCTCATACTTGGAGAGCATTTGAATGGGCAAGCACATTAGATGGAACAGAAGGACAATCACAATAATGCTTTAAGAAACCTGCATTCCCAACATCGCCGAGTATTTCCTTTATCTCCTAAGTCTGAGTGCGGATCGGAACACGTCCACGGCAGGATAGGACAGGTGCACCTTGGTCACCTAACGCTGTCCTCTCAGGATGTGGTAGGCACACCCCCATCCACACGCATGTGCATGAGCCACACAGGCCTGCCCTCCACCCCTTTTCTTGGTCACAGCCGTGGTCAATGACCAGAAATCTTCCAAACACTTTCACACGAATAGGCAAAGCTTTCTAGTTATGTGATTATAAAGGGTCCTCCAAATAGATTATTCAGAGGGAAAAAAATGAGAAGCCATGTCCCCCTGCATCCCCACCCCGCTTTTCAAGACTAGGCTGTTGAATCTGCTTTGTGCAAAGCCCCGCCGGCTGAGCCGTCTCTGTGCGAAGGAGAGAGAGGCATGGAGGAGGAAGTTTTACTTGGTTTTGCAGTATGCCACCACACACATGATGCCGACCACAAGCAGGGCGATGCAGATGCCGGTGATGGTCAGCACTCTCTTCTGGTAGAGCTCCTCGGCTTCTGGAAAGGGATGAGAGCAGACGTCACCAAGGCCCCCTTACACCTGCCAGGACTTAACCACTCAACAGTTGGCATGCTGCGTGGCATTGTCCATGTTCATGAGAAAGTAAATGCGAGACAACTCATTACTTTTGCAGACATACTTAAGGTACAGCATACTCTGCACTGTACTTTGAGCATAAACAACAAAGCCAGCTGGGGCCATTTGCAATCAAAAAAATTACATGATTACGTTACTTTACTTATAAGCTGCAGGTATATATGTATTAACTTGGCAAATCATCAACATTGATTATAAAATAATTATTTAGTTAAAACTGTAGTTTTTAATTAAAAATAACATCTCTTGCAAAGACAACAGGAATCAATGCCAATAAAAAGAGTTGGGTTTGGAATCACTGGGGCCGTCCTCCCCTCCTCCCTCCTCTCCTTCCCCCGCCCCCCGCCCTCCCAAACCTCTTTATTTCCCACCTATTTTCTATTCCAGTGGTCTTTACAAGGACCCATTTCTAACTTAAAAAACAAACTCAAAGACATTTGCAAACATGAGCTTGACTTGTAGTTAGCGACAAAACCGAGGCAGGATCCCTACGATTTAACTGTAAAATGTAAACATAAGCCACACCGTGGAGGTAGCAGCGAACTGTATCAGAGAAAACCCGATATGGTGGGTAAGATAGTCCGGGGCCAAGATGGAGACTTGCCCTCTGAAAGACAATTATTATTACATCACCAGTTGTACTTAGACGCCTAATTTGTGTAAAGAAACCACTAGCATCCATGACGTGCAACTTGGAATAGATTGTAATGCATCCCCATAGCGACCAGCTTGGCAAATTAGCTAAGGTAGGTTACATTAGGAAGTATGATGCTTAGAACTTTGGGTTCATGGTACCGCTGTACCCCAAATGCGACCAGCTTCCTATTCTCGGAAGTCTTTCTATTTGCAAATCAGCTTTTGGGAGGGGTCACTTGATTAGATATTGGTAGATCAGTTTCCTAAGGAGATTGGAAGATTTCATGGTGAACCTGATCCCGTAGGGACTGAGTTTCCAACCAGTCTAATTATATTTATTGGAAGATATTCACTGAGAAAGAGAAATCAATCAGTGCAGGATAAGCAATGTAAGCGGAACTTGCCAAGCTGATTAATAAGCTGGTCAAAAACTGGGGGATGTTGTACAAATGATGGTCTCTTATTGGGACATCAACATGGCGCCTTAGGGAACATTTTCGATTTACATTCTCAGTCTCAGCAACCACACCTTCTCTGCTGAGAGAGGGTGAGTCACAAAAAGTTCTTCTCGAAATGAAAATGTGCATTTTAGTTTCTGTGATACAGTGGACCTTACCATTAAAGAAAAAATCATTTCCTACAAGCCAAGCCCATGGTAATCAAATTCCAGTTAACAGGTCAGGAACATTATCAAATCAAATTAATATAGCACTGATTATTAACAGGAGGAGAAGGGGAAGAGAAGTCAGTGGGTAAAAGACTAGAAGGCTACAGAGATTCCACAAAAACAAACTGAAAGGGTGGGAAGTGGGAAGGAAAAAAACAAACCAAGAGGACAGACAGACTGACAGAATGACGGAGAGAGGGAGGAAGTTGGGTACGAGGGAAAACAAGGTTAAAAGTGAAGGAGCCATCTGAAGTCCCTGGCACAGCATGCCTAATACTAAGGGAGGAAAAATAAATAAACAAAAGAAAACCAGAGGGGGAAATGCTGGGTGGGAAGAGAGGGTGGATGTAAAGTTGGAAGGGTGATCCCATACAGCATAACTCCTACCCTAGGCTGGCGGTCACGTGGAAGCCACGATTAGAAAGCAAAGCAGCTGGTGCATTGCAAGGAAACAATGGGCCAGGAGGCATAGAGTGGTGGCACATATCTTGGCAGCAAAAGTCAGATGGTGAGGTGGAATGTGAATGCTTCTTTGTTAATTGCTGTGTCTGCTGCCTCCCCTCGCCCACAGCCACAGGACAGGGAATGAAATTTTATGAGGTGTTAATCTGTGAGCTGGTGCCACGGGGGTGGGTTGGGGGGGAGGCTTCCTCCTTGACCTGGCATCTGGATCAGTTTTTAGCACTACATCTAAGAAGGAGAGGTGGAGCCCGGGACTCGAGGCAGGGCTTCTGCGGGTGTGATGAGCTGGTTTATAAACAGGAGTGTAGAAGTGTCCTTGACCTTGCTTTACCATGCCTTCTTCCGCTCACCCTCTCTTTTTCTTCTGTTGAAAGGGGGAGGGCTTGGTGGCGCTGGGATCATAACGTTTTATTTTTAGAAAAAGCTGGGAAGTTACTTCTGCAAACCACGAAAACTGGATGTATACAGGGACCCACGGGGGGAAAGGCATCATGCTACTCCCAGGGATTCCATTGAGAAGGTTTTTGGAGGTTGTTAATGCTGAAAGAATAGACTGACCTCAGCTGGTCAGCAAATGTGGTATGATGACTCACCATTCTGCCCTACGTGATGCGGGAAGACACATTTTCCAGCGAAATTGGTCATGGAAATAAAAAGCTCAGTAAAGGCCGAAGGGTAAAAGCAAAAGTGTAAGATGAACCAGCTAAAGACAGGCCCATGGAATACAGATGGAGGATTAAGATTCTGTACTCGCAACAGCATTTCCTGAGTACATTAAATGTTTCTCAGTTCAGTTCTATTTCGTTTTCCAACAATCTACTAGAGCAGGGCCCCCCACATTATGAATGTGTTAAAAGAGAAATACTTGATGAACAATAATATAAACAGTGGGTTCTTTTAACCCCCCTTTTTCCTTATTTTTTCCCCCTAGCGTGACAGGGTCAATAGGGCAAAAGCAAATTAGAGGCAGCGCTGAAAAAGAGAATCCGTCAGTTCAGTTGGCGGATGTGCCTTAATGAATGGAAATGCTTCCCAGTCTTTACTCTATGGTTTGGCTGGACGCATTGAAGTGAATCAGATCAAGCATGTTTTTCTGTCTGATCTGGCTAGGCTAAGAGACAGAAGCCTTGTCTTTCTCAATTTTAATTGAGGTCTGATTTCCCTTAAGGATGGAACATTCTGGCTTAGTATACTGGCTGTCCTGAGACTTTGGAGTCTCTGGACCGTTTGCCTTGAAGAGGTGTGCGGATACCAGAATACTGTGTCCCTTGGTAAAAGTCGTATATCTGAACTATCCATCGCCCAACCTCATTGTGTAGGAAAAGAAATATTAAATTCTAGTTAGACATCCAAGTGATAAAGGGGGACAAAGATGCTCTTAGGGAAAAGGGGAACGGATTTTTTTCCCTCCCTGCAGGAAAGGCCTATAAGCCTTTCCTAGTAGTGGAACTATTTTTATCCAGAGGGAGGTTACTTGAATAGATCCCTCTTTTCATGTAGATAATCCACCACCCAATGGTGATGGTGGGACTTCGAGCTTCTCATGCCTGGGAGATGTTCTCTGATCTGCAAAGAGCCACTCACATATAAGTGGAGGTTTTCTCATCACATGAATAGTTTTCTCTTGGAAGGTTTTTTTGGGGGGAATGGTCGAGTTTCTATCCCTGTAACTGACCCAACTTGCAACAGCCTCATTCTCCGCAAGTTATGGAAAGTATATTCGGTATAGGCTGTGATGTTATCATGCAGTTATGCTACAGGGGCCCTCAAGGCATCATGTCACTGACACCAGCAAGCATGGAGATCAGCTATTCTGTTAATTGGGACATTGCTTTGTTGACCCATGGCCATATTCCAGGGCTGCCGGTGTCGTTGAGAAAGCCCGGGTACCTGCGCTGTGGTCTCTGGGATGACACAATGGCTCCCCTTTCCTCCCAGGACTGGCCCTTGCTCTTAGTTATTTAGGACGGAGGCTTTCAAAGGGACGGTGCCCCAAATTCATATGCTCATAAGAGAGATTTTGTGTTTACAGTGTGAACATTTCTATTTGATTACTTGTCTGGCTGATCTTAGTGACTCAAGGTTAATTCAATTAGCGCTAGAATTTCCACTTAAAATAGCACAAGGCTTCTTTCTTTCTGTTTTCTATTTCCTTGCTCATAAGATAATGAAGTTGACTAGAGTAGCACTTGAACATCCCCAGAAAATGAGTCTGTGCATACAATAATGGGTTGCAGTGTCAGGGCCTTCTATGTTACTATATTAAATGGATGATTTTTACATTGTATGTCAAATTCCCATCAGCCCAAGATGTGGTGTGCTTTTAAGCTGATGCATTTAGAGCTTCGTCTGTTCCCAGGCCTGGTTTGGCTCCTCCCATAGCCTTACACACCTCTCCAACTTACCCCAGCTCTGAAATAACAGCATGGCCAGACAAGGAACAGGGCCTATATGTGAATTTGCAGGAGGTGAAGTGATTTTAAACTCTACGTGAAGCTGGGGAATCTAGAAACTGCTACACTCGGTGACATTTTGGTAAACTAATCATAGATCGGAAGCAGAAAAATCATTGTTATAGCTGTATGATCCCTTCTGAAGGAAAAGGAAATTAGTTAGGAACTGAAAGGTAAGAGTAGGAAGGGAAAAGATTTCAGCTCATAGGTTCTAAATTCTGCAGGCTAAAAGGAATGATGATTGGTCCATACCCATAAATTCAATCCCAAGATGCTCTGCCAATGCAGAAAGTTGACAAAAAAAAGAAAGAAAGGGAAAAAAGTTTCAGAAAAGAGCAATACACTGCACTCCAAAACACATTACACACGACTATTACGGCTTTCTGTGCGTGCACATGGAACAGGGCGAATGGTGGGTGGTTAACACAGCAGTGCTCAGGTACGCCTCTGTGCGTCCACATAGGGAACTTCTCTGTTAACGAGGTGTGCAAATACCGGCACACCACGTCCTTATTAACCCTTAAAAGACCTTACTGAGGGAGAAGTTGTCCTCATTTGGGAATAGATATGTTGTATTTATGATAATTTTAAAAAGGCATTCAGTATTATTTCATTCCTCTCTTTAAAAGGCAGAGATGAAGTTCCAGGGAGGTGATATTCTTTTTTTTTTTTTCCCCCCATAGGCACATAGGCAGAGCCAGGAGTAGAAATCAAGAGGACAGCACTTAGGTCTGAAAATTCTCTCTTGCTGGATTTACATTTTTCGTAGTCCATGGCTAGTTATGCTCTAATATTTATTGTTGTTTTGGTTATTAGAAAAAAATAAATCTCCTTCTCTGCTCCTAACCTTTCCTGTTCTCCACCACTGACATGTTCCAGTCACAGAAAGCAACAAATGCTTCTGCCCAAAAAGCCAGAGAGGGAATTGGGACCAGAGCCTGCTTCTGGTTTTTCAAAGAACTCCTGGGTGTCACAGGACAACTCTGGATGCCTTTTTCAAATTGTAAAAAGAAAAGGGGGCTGTGGTGGGGGAAGGATCCAGTTCCTGGGGTCCTTAGTTCAATGGATTACTTCTTCAAATAACAGAGAGCCAATCAGATGATCACTCTCGGGGGCTGAGCTCCGACACCCAGATGCCAGCCCAGGGCTCGGGGAAGGAGCTCCCAGGTGTGAGCTCACAGCCCACAGTCCCGGCAGGCGTCAGCTTGGAGACTCCGAGACTAAAAGGACTAGCAGAACCTGCACAGGCTCAAGCGAGTAAATGGGCAAATTAAAAATAAAAGCCAAAAACTTCCAGAAATGACACTTCCCAGGCTCGAAGCAAAAATTGTTAATCCAATTGCATCGGCTGGGCCGCTTTAGGGTTCCTCATTGGTGTGTAGATGGCGGAGAGGCACGTGGGAAGGAAGGGCAGAAGGAAAAGAGATTCCGAGGTCTCCATTTCTTCCCTGATCACTGACTAGAAGATACCACGGGGGTCCAAGAAACATGAGAGAGCATCTATCGCTTAAGTCTGAACGCACGTGGTTGAGGGGTACTGCTCTCACAAAAACATCGGTGTGGGCGTGGACAAGGCGCCTCCAGCAGAGAGAGGATAAGGAGGGAAGCGTGCTGGGTTCCTCCACTTTCAGCTCCTGTCTCTGCCATTTGCCTGTTCAGTGACTTTGGACCAGTTAATTTCTCATTGACAAAATGCTTATGATACTAACACACGCACCACAGGGAGGACCCTGTGGAATAAAGGAGCCATGAAATATGTCGGCCAACAGCAAAAGGGGTTAAGAGCTTGGAGGGTGGACGTATCTGGAGATCGACCTTGGGCCCCTTATTACATGTAGATTTACTTTTACTTAATTCATGGCCAGGGAAACTCTTAAAGCTGCTGGGATATACCCAAGAAGTTAGACTTTAAAAACTTTCTACTTCTTGAGGAAATGAAGCTTCCAGATTAAAAACTAAATCAGAGAGCGCATTGAGTAGCAGTAATAACGAGAGATAGTGTGTATAATAGACTGCCTTGGGTCCAGGCTACTCAGGGAACCAGCTTAAGTTTTCATAAATTAAAAGCCACAGGATTCAGGATTAATTTGGTTGCACAATGTCTACAGCAAAAGTTAGCAGTTTGTTCAGATCCAAATGAACTTGTCTCTGTGCAACTCTCAGTTTGACAAAATATTTCCCCCTCATTGGCTTCCTTTATATAAACTTTGGAGCATCAAGGACAAGAATTCACTTTCCAAGGAAGTGATAGTAAGCTTCCTTACACATTTCCTTGAAGACGTGGCTCAAGTTTTTCTACCTAGAACCGCTTCCATCTTAATGCCTTTTCCTCCTACCAGTCAGTAATAATTTAAGGGTTAAAGCCAAGATATCTAAACTCTTTCCAGAGAATCATTATTCCATGCCTACATGAACACTGCTAATGATCTATATTAGTTGCGTAGAAAGCTTGGTTAAGTCTTCAATAAAATTAGTAGCATGCTCATGCATACGTATTACTGCATTTACAGTTTTATAGGTAAGTCTGTGAGCCTAACTATAATTTCATTTCATGGGAAGTCATTCATATCAGGCAGCTCCAATTTCAAATAATTCAAAGGGAAATTGGTACTTAAAATTGGAATCTCTTCTGGCCATAAGCCCTAACAAGGAAACAAGCAGAGGAAACATGCATCATTCTCGACCTGGAGCAAATACTGCTCTAATTTATTTTTACTATTGGTGGCTACATTTCTTTCATTGTGAGTCAAGAGAAGCAGAACACACAAACACTTTTCATTTGATGACGAAGTTATTACTTTCTATCTGTTCTATTTAATCTCATGTTGGTTTAGGCTCATTATGTATCATATGCTTCCTATTGAACTTCTGTCTAGCCACCACATTTTTCAAATTAAATTAATAATTCAAAAACACAAAGGTTGCTGTAAACAATTTAGTGTCCTTTCCTACATGCGATTTCCTGCTGTGCAGTAAGCAATATAAAAAATTAATTTTATCTGAGAGTCTTCAGAAACTACTAAATATTGACTCACTAATCCTTTGATTTAGGATTTTATAATTGTTTGAGGAGAACTGATTAACCTGTAGGTTAATTTAAATTTTCAGTGGCATCAGAGGAAAGAACAATTAAACAACTTGCTTTTACCAAAATTATCCATACATGTATTTATGGTCTCTGATAAAATCTGAAGACATTTAAGATTTTACTCTTTGATATTTTGGGCCTCCTTATGCAAATAATATCAAAGATGTAGGTATAGTCCTGACTTTCTGCACCTCTGAGATTTTAAAGTTCTGTCAATGCCATTGATAAATGGGACATATTTAGCATCTGACTTCTAAGTTTTGACTTACCTTTACAAATGCAGATACTTTTTATTTTCACATATACAAATCCATATTGCCATTGAGCCCTTTGGAGTGTAATAGGAGGCTTTCTCCGTACTCCCAAAATTCCATGTGCACATAAGCACATTCACCAACACACACACAAGAAAGTCTCACTAACACTCAGTTAGAATTTACGATAATTTATGTAATAGATTGTGCCTTTATTCTATTGTCAGCAAGATACACATGTTGGATAAATAAATTAGTAATTTCAATGGTTTTTAAAGCATTTAGAAATCAACACAAGTAATTTATGCACTAGTAACCTCTGATTCAAAATTACATTTAAGGAGATCTACTGGGTTTACTTATTCCGAGAAAAAGCCTAAAAGTTCTAAGATTGCACTCTGTATAACTATTCTATAATTTGGGCTATTCTATAATAATTTCCTATTATATATTAGTTTATATATGATATACTTGATGCATTCTGCCTCTAACTATTGAAGCTGCATTTTTTTCCTCTGCCCAGAAGTCTATAAATCAATTATGAATTGCCCATATATGCACACAACCCCCCTTCCCCCACAATGATGAATACAATCCTTGAAAGCAGGAACTCTGTGTCAAGATAGGTCAAATTTGAAGCTGACTCACCTTGACAATATTTTTCTAGAAAGTATTATAAATATGTTTTATTTCAAGGCAAATGGCTGCCTTCAAGAAAGCCATATAAAATATGCATTTGTTCTTTTCTTTCGTACTTTAAATCCGTTTTTATAAATCAATAAATGCCCCATAGGATACTCTGACCAGAAAAACTGCATCAAATCCTAATAATGAAAGTTATGTGTTAATAAGCATTTTAAAAACTGTTCATTCTTTTAGAATGTCATTCTTCTATTGAAAATGAGTTTTACTAAGTTGAAAAAATGTTTCTCTTTGAACCTGGGGAATATCTTTTCTTTTAAAATTTATGGTATGTGTTTCAGATTTTATGAACACAAACAATTAAATTTTGATCATTACCATTGCGGCAGCATTTCTTATCCTTTGTGCAGCCTACAGTGATACTTGAACATAAAGTTCTTAAAGTAGCAACATTTATTTTCTTGCCTTCTATCTGAGAGTTTGCAGAAATGAAAGTTGAGAGTTTAAGATCTAGAGGTTAGAAAATTAATGCTGGGCAAGACAGCTGTGGAAAGCAGTTTCTGTATGGAAGCTATTGCTTTTCCAGATCTGAGGCAGCCCTGATGCACAGTCAACGCGGACTTTGCTCATAAATGCACTTCCTATCAATCTTTGTTACATCAGGGTAAATATGAATGCTGCTTTCTTGGACGTCTTCCAAAAGTGCGATCGAAAGCTTACTAAAGAATTTATTTAAGGAATCACACTCTGATTCCACATAGTGGCTATATTTAAATGATATCTTCTGAAAAAGAAAATGGTCTAAAATAGAAGTTGAAAACATCTTCTCTGCCTACTACTGTCAGATCTAACTGCATCATTATTTGGAGCAATAGCTTCATTTTAAGAATGCTTTTCTCTATATAGTGCCCTAACATTGTCTTCAGCGCACAATGAAACTCGATATGACACAAAAAATTTAATAATACAAATGTTCAGAATTTTCATTCAATTCTACAATATGATGTTGTATTCGTACAGTCACATGATTTGCTAAATCTATGTTATTTGAATACAAACCGATTTCTAAAAGGAATGGCTTTAAAATTATTCGGTAAAATTCTACTATTCCTCTTCTATTTTTATTTTCCATCTTATCTATCTTTAAAAAGATTAATAACATAATCTTTGATATGTGGCCTGTGTAAATATACCATCAGCACCACCTCACTAAATAAATGATTGAATATTACGGATCGGGTCTCCCCTTAATGCATGTGAAATTAATTTTTCCATGAAATTTATTCTTCCACAACTGTTAACAGGAAGAACAGGATCTTAGTCTTTGGATGCATGCAAGTAAGAGTAAATTTCTGATTCTTTTAGGGCCCACACATGACTGGCTCGTATCACTGTTTCTTGTGTCATGTGAATTCACACCAATTAACTATGTGAAGTATTTTGCAGGGTGAGCAACTGACGATCCGAATTAGGGATTGTTAACTCCAGCCCACTGCCTGCTTTCGTGAATAAAGTTTTAATAGCACACAGCCATGCCCATCAGTTTATGCATCGGCTATGGCTGCTCTGTGCAGAGTTAGTGGTCATGCAGGTGATAACTCTCACCTGTAAACCCTGAAGTATTTACTATCCGATCTTTCACGGAAAAAAAATTGTCACCCATTCATCTCAATGGGTAACTATATGGAGCCCATTTAAAATACAATGCTTTGAAAGCTCCAGAATTAAAAGCGACAGCCCAGTTCACAACAGGACAAATTACATGATTTAGTTTATCCATGTAATTTACATACATGTGACTTGGGTCTTTTAGGGATGATGTTCGTAAGATGCCATAGAAATCCGCCAAATTTCTCAGTTCTGCATTTAGAACATATATCTGGATGTAAACTATATATTTCAAAGTAAATAGTGAATATTTTAAAACCCCTATTTATCCCTAAAATTGTCATTGAAACTAGCATAAAGAAATGCAAATATAAATAAATGATTGTTTAAACTAATCCTGAATCACCTGTTTCCTAAGCAACATAGAGAGAAGCCAGGATTTCTCATTTGCTGTGAAATGTTTGCAATTTTCCTACTCAGTGCTCTTTTTATACCTAAATGCAAACTGTTAATGAAGAGAAACATCTGAACTCTTTTTAGCATGTTTATTTGTTATAAATAACACATTCTGAGTCAAAATTAACTTACCATCATTTCAAGTGCATACTGATTACAACTTAGCAACATCCATCGCAGGACGTTGCCATTTTATAAAGAAGATGGACTGTTTAGTGGAATGATTTTATTTTATCAATAAGAGTGAGACTTTTAAATGCCTTTATTATAATTGCACTGTGTGATATTGACTCTCATTTTGTATCACATTATTCAGTATCCATTTCAGAAGCATCCGGAGCCTCACACACCTATTAGTATCTCAGAGCCCACTAGTCACGAACAGAGGAAGTAATACAATCGCTGTGTTAATGTTCTCATGCGCCAGGCAGAGGCAGTCAATGTTAGACCTGATAAAACACATCTATGTCTAGGTGAGATCTGAGGGGAGATGCAGCAACAAGAAAGCGGCACCGACTGAGCATGCTTCTACTCAGGCAGAGACAGAAAGGGAGTGGACGTACTGTAGAAGCTGGCCATTACGTAGTTTTGGCAGCGATCACCAGTAAACTCATTTGGGCACCTGAGAGAAGAAACAAAAAACAATGGTAGAAAAAACAGAGAAAAAGAGAAGAGGTGAATATATGCTAGAAAGAAGCTCCTTCAGTGTCATTTGACTGAACTTGGTGAGTTCACCCTCAGGAACTGAGCCTTTGTCCTAATCATGGTTTTCAGACTCTGGCATCTGCCCCAAAGGCTTAAAAATCTGGACAAAATGGGGTCCTAGGGTTTGTATGATAGATAGAAAGATGGCAGCATCTGAAGTGACTGCTTTCTTTCAAAGGGACTCGCTTAAAATAGCATCTGATGTTTTCTTTATCTCTGTTTTCCATTGGAGAACTTCGGTCAAAAGTGCCGGAAGGAAATGGTTTTTGGAGGGCCGGCTTGCCTGCCATGGTCGCCAGCATCACTGGCCATCCGGACCGGTCATTCTAATTTGCCTCTATGATCTTGGGGGCCCAAGCTGAGAGACCGTGAAAACCAACTCATGCCCCGAGTGGTTAAACCATCGTTAGGACAAAAGGAAATCAGTTACGACTGAACTGTAAAAGCACCAAGCGGTAGTAATTGTTGCTGTAGTTTGGGGGAGAAAGCAAATTTCAGATTATTTTAACATACTTTCTTGGTTTTGGACTTTCATGGGCACATTCTCAGTACATCTTGCTCCAGTGAATCCAGGTTGGCACCTAGAGGGCAAAAATGTGATAAGCAATAGAACGCTACAGACACTGCATTTTCAGACTGGCAATTTTCCTCCTATGGAATATGGAGATTCCTACAATGACCTGGAGGCTGAACAACATAAAGAGAAGGAAAAGAACACATTTAGAAAACCATGTTACATGGAAACTGCGGGGTATGTATTTTTGTTGTTGTTTGCTTTGGTCTTCTTAAGAACACTTCACTGCAACTGAACTCCCAGGGAGGTGGGAAAGTCAAATAGGGCTGGCAAGGCCTGGGGAGCTAAGTCACTTTCCCTTTGGCATTTCCTTATCTGCCACTGAGCAAGGGCTCCTATCTTGTTAAAGCACTTGTTTTGATAAGGACTTGGTGGTTCTTTCCATCATCTTTTCTTATTTAAATGATCCTGAGCAAGTCTGTTCATAGCCACTCAATTTTGTGCTTTCATAGGTACTTTTACGTAGTAAGTTCAATCATCAAACTACAATAGAGGTCAAGTGCTTATACACTCTAGTGATTACTGACAAGAAGAACTATATTTCCCCCCCCCCTTTTTTTTTTTAAAGGTATGACAACTTAGGTCTCCTTTTTAATACTGAAAGACAGAAAGAAGCAGACATTTATTGGCACAAACTTCACTTCATCCAGTGATCCCCAAAGACAAATACATGTTTAAAATTTAAAGGATGGGTCTACGGTAGTACTTCGTAGGTGTCATTTCGCATTTGAGCTAAAACTATTTTTAAACTGCGTCACATTTTAATTTTATTCACATACATTCACCTATCTAAATTCTAAAATCTTGATATAATATTGTTTGTAAGATCATGCAATGGGGATGTGCCTAAATATGGAAGTCCTTTCTAATTGCTCTTTTTGTTGCTATTATACCAGTAATGAAAGCATTTCAGATTGGATCCTTTTACCCAGTAACATGCTCTAGTCAATAGGGCCATCAAAAGATTATAGGAAGCAAATAAACTTATTTGTTTCTCAAATACCCTCATCATGGTTATTATCCATAGTTCATCTATAGCATAACCATCATGCAAAGCCCCTAATAAAATGTAGTTGTGACAGCATATACCTTGTGATTTACACCCGAAAGACCCTTTCTTCTCCATAGTAAATAAGAGTAAATATTATATTTTTGGCATCAAAGCAATGTGAATAAAACTATCCATTTTTACAAATATAAGGATATTTTTCTCATTCCCCTTAAAACCAAATTCAATCCCAAAAAAGTGTTATAAAGTGATTTGGTATATCTAATTCTCCTATTTCATGAAGAATGGCCTACAGGATAAAACGCTAACAGTTCTGGATTTTTAGTACCATAAGTTCTGTGTAAACTTAAATATAATTATGATCATGGGTATTATCAATAATCTTAACAATGAACATCTCATATTGATATAGCCCTCTTAACCCTTCAAAACATACATATATATATATACACACACATACACACAAATTCAATTATATATATAATTATGTATATTTATGTATACATAATTATATATATATTTATATGTATAATATATAAATATGTATACATAATTATATATATATAATATATAATTGAACTGGATTTTTGGATTAGAATATTTTTGCAGCAGTGAAGAGAGGAAGATCTACCTAGAGAAATACAGATATAAGAATGATAGCCTGTGAAATTGGGTCATTTTTCATAAAGCTGTCACATGCATCAATAAGAATGTCTTCACTGATATACAAGGAAAATACATGGAAACCTATTTTCTATATAATGTATTTAACATAATGACTTCTGATATATACAGGATTTTTGTTTGTGTATTTGTTTATGAACCAGGACTAAAATCCACATAGACATACCCTATGATTAAGCAGGTAATCCAGAATTAAGGATATATTCTACAATGACCATTTTATCTTACATGTTTGCATTCTTGATAAAAATTAAAATTTTATTATTGATCACACAATAATCCACTTGTTCCATAAAATGAACATTGTATAAGATATGTGAACAGTGTGTGTGTGTGTGTGTGTGTGTCTGTGTGTGTGTGTGTCTGTGTGTGTGTGTGTATGGGGGGAGAGAGTTGCGGAAGGGGGAGAACCATTTGAGGTAAGAAGTGCATTGATTTAAATAAGGATCATAAAATTAACGTATAGTTGAAGAATCATGAGTCCCTTAAGAAAAAGAATGCATTTATTAGAAAATTGTCATTTATGCATCTTGGATGCCAGTTTGGGGATGAGAAGGCACAGGACAATGAGGTGATACAGATCAAAAATCTTATCCAATCAATTTTCTAATTAGTACAAACCTCTAAGATGATGTTTCCTAGGGAATTGGCCCTATGGCCTGCTGGTTTATCTCCATCATAAAATGAAATGTACAGTAACACTAGATCTGCTTCAAGTATGCCAATCTTTTCTGGAACAATCAGCTATATCTGAACCGGGATTATCTTTATGCTAATGTCTATCCTCACTGAGATAAATTTTCTTAGGGTAAAACATTACTATTCACAGTGTGGTTCATGGACCAACGGCACCAACATCTCCTGGGATCTTGTTAGTAGAAATGCAGAAGCCCAGGCCCCCAGTTCATAACTACTAAATAAGAATCTGCATTTTAACAAGATCCCCAAGAGATCTGCATGTACGTTAAAGTTCAAGAGGTCAGGGACCCTAGGGGCGCCTGGGTGGCTCAGTCGGGTAAGCATCCGACTTCGGCTCAGGTCATGATCTCATGGTTTGTGGGTTTGAGCCCTGTGTCAGGCTCTGTGCTTACAGCTAGCTCAGAGCCTGGAGCCTGTTTCAGATTCTGTGTCTCCCTCTCTCTCTGACCCTCCCCTGCTCACGCTCTCTCTCGCTCGCTCTCTCAGGAATAAATAAAAGAACATTAAAAAAAAAAAAAGAGGTCAGGGACCCTGACCTTGGAAGATGGAGACTAAGCCCCTCTATCCCTATACCACAGTTTCTTGCTGCTTGGATGTGGGCGGCTCATTTGACCTCATGGGGCCACAGTGTTCCTCAGTGATAACATGAAGGGGTTTAACTGATTATCAAAGGTTCTTTTCACCACAAAGGTTCTGGGAATCAACGCTCATCCTAACACATGAATCACTGTGGAAATTTTGACAGCATTTCTTCTGCACATGTTACCAGTTACGGAGGAGGACTCAAGGACTTTTAAAAAACATTTTTGATACAATGGATTTTTAAGACAATCCAAGGAGGTAAAACATATTGCAAATACCTATTCCTAAGCAATCCGAGGGTTCAGCAATGACTGTTGTTATGCAACTTTTTAAGGACATCTAGAGTTGTTGCCAAATCAAATGGAAAGAAACAGAAATAGACAGTTTTTTGCCTCTGCAACCTGCAGACTGCATTGATTGTGGAGAGAAAGCATATGCAAGTGGAACCCATCTGATCTATAAGCTCTGATTCAATTCTATGGAATTACTTCTAAAAGAACAGGGAGACTGTCTGGCTTCTGACATTTTCTAAATTAGCACTGTACATTAAGCATCCAATCTATCACTTTCTTTGGAGATAAGGGTACGGTAAATCTAATCTGATTTTGAACAATATGCTTTGGCACGAGTCTGGGCAAATTCCAAGAATTCTGTTTCTTAGAACAATCTGTCTGAATAATAATCATGCCTCTATGGTAGCTTCTATATATATTGTTTTAGTATTTGCTCTTAACACAATAAATAATCTTTATTTTACATTTATTGTTAATGAGATGAAAATTCACAGATCATTTTGTCCGAACTTGGGTATCGCCTCTTCCAACTGACCCTACCCTGACCTCCGCCTTTCCATCTCCCACTTCCCTGCCCTAGCTGAGGGATCTCTCTTTGGCTCTCACACTGCACCCAGTCCTGATCTCTTTCACTGTCCTCACCTGTCTGGGTTGGAATTCTCCGTGGTGAGGATAGTGACCATATTTTGATCACTCTGTTATCTTTAATTAAATTTTTTTAAACATTTATTCATTTTTGAGAGACAGAGAGAGACAGAGCATGAGCAAGGGGTGGGCAGAGAAAGATGGAGACAGAATCCGAAGCAGGCTCCAGGCTCTGAGCTGTCAGCATAGAGCCCAAAGTGGGGTTTGAACTCATGGACTGCCAGGTCATCAGCTGAGATGAAGTCGGAAGCTTAACCCACTGAGCTGTCCAGGCGCCCAATGTATCTCTAATTTTAACACAGTGTCTGCCTTGTAAAAAGCTCTCATAAAATGCTTGCTAAACTGAGCCCAAGATAGTACTGGACGGCAGCATCCAATAAAGAACTGTATCAAAGAGACTTTCATAGAGTCAATTGATTTGTCAAGTACAA